ATATCTGTGGATGATCAGACAATTGACTGACAGCCTCTGTACTTTATATTCATTAACCACTTTATGGATGGAGTTGGTGGTCAAAAAAACGACATGGAGAAAAAATGTAGAAAATCCTTCTCTTGGGTTTTTTGCGCTTATGCTCACATTTTCAATGGTTTCAAATTGAAAGGGATAAAAAACGAAAGTTTTTTATTGCCTGAAGTTCTTTCGAGCTGACCATAAATTTAATTTAATTATAGTGACGGAACGATATTCTTCAGCCAAAAATTTCCTTCTCGCTTGAGAAGCCTTCAAAGTCGTCTCGTCGTTAAATTCAACTCATTATGCCATTCGCATACGGAAATTTTATAAAAAGGATTAATTATCAGTGGTATAGAGAGGCGATGTGTAAAGGAGAAAAACGCGATTGTTGGTCCCGGTATCCGTAAAATCGGGAATTATTTCCATCTAAATGGACTAAGTCACGGTGATTTTTTGACTCAAGATTCCCCTAAATTGATCTCTAATGTGGATCACTTCTTCCACACCTCTGTTATAAACTGACTACATATAGCAAAAAAGTTGTACATTATTCATTAATTTCTAGCGCATCATTTGTGCTCAAAATCTGTAAAAAAAAATTCCTCTGTACTTGATCATTTGTCAGATCTGAGTATCATCTTGTTTCACAGAAGATCATTAATCACGACAAGAAATGTTCTCAATCTCACTATTTTGATGTATGTGAGGTTATCTATTGTTTCAATTCTACACACTGACTAGCAAAATGTGTATCCCTGTGCCCACAAAGTAAAATTGCAAACAGAGGAGAATCTAAAATCTTGTCCTATCTCGGAACTATACTTTTATCTGTAACTGTAAGTATGAGGTAAATCCCTTGAATATTTTTTCTTCTTTTCAGCATCATTTCTTTATAATTTTTTCGAGAATCACGACGCGAGAGGGAAAAGCGATCATCAACAATGGAGTAAACAGATGATCACAGACTTTATTATCTTAGTACATGGCACAATGAATTGACTCTATGTGTGTTTGGATGTGTATACACATTGTTTAGCAATTCTTAGATAATTCTCTGGGAAATTGAGAGATGAATAAAAAGTATATCCATAGACATTAAAAGTTGTAATAATAAACTTTTACATACAGAGAAATCCAAACACAAAGTGCTCTCGTGACTGCAGAGCATCTCAGTTAGAATTCCATCGATTCTGACGTTCATAATCGTCGCTCTGTTAAGGGGCTGTTATTAGTAGTAGAACAAATCCCCTTTTCCAATCGGGTTTATGAACATTTTTGTGCATGGAACGGATAGAGCCTTCTAAATTGTTTTATTTGCTGTTGACTTGTGAGAGGGATTTTTCGAGGAACTCACTTGGCAATGGCAACCAGTGGTCTACCTTCGAGGTCGCCAGTCGCTGCCTTTCAGAGTGATCGTGTTTGGTGCTGAATCATTTTCATGGGTTCAAAACCAAAGAGATCAAGAGACTTGCCAAGTTGAGGAACTCTGGAGCCACGAAAAAAACATACAGTCAAAGCGCGAGGCGACTTACAGTTCATAAATCGAATGTTAAATTGCAAAATGAAAGCAGTTTGAGGAGTTTATCAGAGCTCTGTCGTCGTCTGGATTTGATTTTAAATTTCCAACTCGAAATGTCAATCAAGCACTTGGTAGCGCTAAATGTTTGTTCTCAATGACTTCTCTTCCAGAGTGGTAGCCTCTATGCTGTTCACCACATCTGTAGGGGCATGTAACCTCACCAAAAACACACTATTATTTTATTTCTTTCTTTTAGCGTCGAATACATTTTTTGTTCGCCTCCTTTCAGTTCTGTAGTTATCGGCATTTGAATTCCACAGAAACGATTATATTGGACGCACAAAAAGCCCTCTTGATCCCTCTTCTTTTCTCCATTGAGCATCTTATGTACTTTGGCCATACAAATGCACTGCTATATACAGAGAAGCGTGTGTATTTGGTAAAGAAATTCGATGGTATTTTGCCTGCATCCTCAGGTCCCTTCTTCGCATGACACGACGATTAAACTGTTTTCAATATCTGAAATATGTGCTTACTGTAAATACACACACAGATAACTCTCGTTTAACAGATTATTTTCGAACGATTTATAGCCGAGATGAGAATTAAATGAGAGAACATAACACCCTGAGAACGAACCATTTTTCAATTTGAACCCAAATTTTTTCATGATTTGTGTTTGACTCGACTTGTCCCTGCCATGAAAATTTATACCAAACCCAAACACACCCTATTCAGTTGGCAGCCCACCAGAATGAATCGCTCCTTGAGTATTCCTGTACTCTTCTCTCTTGTCGTTAGAGGGTTGGTGGCAAAATTTATAGTGTGACATTGAAAAAGAGATTCTATTTGATTACCTGACCATGAAATTCTCATTTCATTGTGACATTTTTCTAAAGAAGAAACATGGATAATATTCGCAAAATGCTGTATAGTCACATCAACATTTATAGAAGACAAACACCACAATTAATACTTATATGACTAATGCTATATTTTGAGCAATAGATCGATATATTTGTCGCGATATCTTGTCGTCAGACAATCACGTTTATAGTCTCTGACATCTATCAATCACCGTGATAAAAATACCCAATCAAGTCATTCATTACAGTGAGAAGCCACCATATAAATAAAACATTATAAAAAAAATTTTGTTACGAATTTTTCCAGTTGAACATTCATTACATATGTCATCGATAATATTAAATGCATCAAACACTCAGCTTTTCCTCCTTTTTTCACCTAGACAGACATTTCTGATTTTCTATTCAATTTCATTGTTCTCAATTGCTATTTTTGTGTATTGATGACATTCCTGAAATTTAGATTTTCAACACTACAATATAGAAAAAGCGAGATATGATCCAGGAACGAACGGATATTCCTCTTGACATTGAAAGAGAGCTCGTGGACGTTATCGTTCATTTATGTAAATATGAATATGTCTGATATTGTTAGATAAGTGAAGAGAGTGTCATCACAGAGTGATTATGAGTTATCTACAACTATCACTCATGAAAATTGTGGTGAGCAAGGCAGTATAATAATTTATTATGTATATCACTAGGCCACTTAGAATTGTCTGAAATAAGAGTCAGATGAACACAAATTGCACCGCAGAGTGAAGAGGTATGCAAACGCAACAAGAGATAGAGAGCGAAAATTATTGTAGCTTCTGAATTTGAAAAGAACATTACATATAATATATTTCTTGACTTAATACATAATCAATATAGCAAAGGGAACAGAATAAAAATTGAAGATTTTGAATTTTTGATATGATTTCAATAAAGGTTGTAAATAAATTCAATTAAAATTTCGAAAATATTTCTTACACATGTTCTAAGTATTATGAATGAAAAGAAAAATTATTTTTTTCTGTGCGAACATGTACTTAGGGATATCATTAATTAAATTTATTCAGCCTTTTACTCAGCAAAAATAGGGTTTTTATTAAGAGATAAAAATAAACATGACGAATTTGTCTTTATCAAGACTATAGAAGATGTGAGGAGTGAGAAATTCTAACTTTATTACCTCCATATAATCTTATATTTGGATAGAAATAATTTTAATTAGTGCCCACTAATTGCAAATTAAAGTATCAAAAGTTGGAGTTTATGATCCTTAAAGAAAATTTTTAGTGCCACTTGGTTATTTCACATAATTTCCATATGATGAAAGAAAATAAGAAGAAAAAAGATCAAGATGAAATCATGAATCATCGCAGAAAGAACATTATAGGTCTTGTTATTGAGTTTGAGTCCGTAGGTCTATTTAGAACTAATTGTTAATCATCAATGATGGTTTATTTTCATGCCTTTTGTTGGTGAATTCAAAGAAATAGAGAGTGAGCGGAAAAGCGAGATATGAAGTGGACCTGATCAGGGGTATAAAAGGGCAGACTGAAAAGAATAATACGTTTGATTATCGTGGCACGACTGTATCTGACGAAAAAGCCCACTCAGATGTTATTGGGAGGCTTGCAATTGTAGTCTGGGAGTTGCACAATAAACCCAATGAAAAGTGAACATGGCTTCGTCTGATGAAGGCCTTTAAGTGTGTGTGCTATTCTATTACTGCATTTCTTTCCACTTTGGTTTTTGGCTCAGTCGCTCATTCTAGTGCTCCCGCGGTCTCACGATTGATACTCTTGAATGTGTGATTCTGGGTTTTGAGATGGGTTAAAGAGAAATGAAAGTATCCCAGCTTCATTTGTAAATATGTATATATAATACTAATATTTATGCAACATCTCGAGAAATTTTTCATGGCACTATCTCGAGAGTGGTATACACTAATTACCGTCATTTCAATTTCATATCTTTTTTACTTGCTAAACATATGTTTGAATTTCTTTTTTCTTTGACCATGTTATGTTATAGAAGTTGTTGGAAAAAATAATCTAAAAAGAGAAAGAGATCCATTAGAAAATGTCTTTTTGATGACTCTGCAGGTAGATTGAATTCTCTTATGCGCATTGCTGGAGACGTACTAACTGGCAATTTTCAGCTATCAAGGGAGATGTAGTGATAATGATAAGTGTATATTGCGCCCAGTTTCTTTCCAATTATTTTCTTTATAAATATTTTGCCATTGAAAATATTTCAATAATTTTTTTTAATTAGAAATAACAGAATATAAGGTATTTTTAGATAGTGCAATGTATAATTTTATTAATTTTACACTGCTTATGCACACGGCTCACTATATAATCTTTAGTCGATGTAAGAACCCTAAAAATTACCATGCCGAAAAAAATTACAAATCTCTGAATTCGTAATGGGAAATTTGTGCCACCACTAAATTCCTTTAGAAATTCCACATCAGCTTAGATGCAGTAGTGAAGTGAAATGCATTTCGATGTGCAACAAAGCAACGTAAAAATCTCTTCAAAATGACACTAAATTGAATACACATATATATATCCGAGAAAAACCGGTTTCCTTCTTACCTCAAGAAAGTTTACAGCGCTATTTATGTGGCTCTGATGTTAATGATCAAAAATATCCTCTCTCCACAACTTTACTTCCAATGTGACTTCACTATTATTGAACTTTTCACCAAAATATGCACTAGCATCGATCCATGATCGATTATTTTCATAATTACGCTGTTGCTCTCGTCCGTCTTGGCGATTGTTGATGCCAGGAAAAGCACACACGAGGCTGTGTGGTTTCGATTTTTTGTGTGAAAGACGTTGAAACAAGTCACAAGAGCCAAACACTAAATGTTAATATTTATGATATGAAACACAGATTTAACCAACACATCTCTCTGTGGCATTCAATGAACGTAAAAGTTTCACTTTAGACCATCGACAGATCACGATGATGCTTCAGCTCTTGGATGTACACTGAGATCAATCGATCGTCCGGAGATAAAATTGTCATGAAAGTCCGCGTTTTATCGTGGTGGCCGAAGCGATCCATACACATGTAGATTATTTGACGAGCTACGGACTTTTCACTACATCACCATGCGGAGGGACTGGCGGCGCACAAGAAATGCATTTATCCAGCATTAGGCCATTCGCACACGTCCCAATCAAACACTGCTGGGGTATTTGTTTAATAAATTCCACAGTGTTTAGTGTGCAAAAATGCGCACTCCGTGAGATTTTACAAGCACTCGAGTGGGGCTAAAATCACGCTGAGGCCACACAGAAAGAGCAAAACTGAAAGGCAACCTCCTTTCCATTCGAGCGCCGGCAAGCAACTGACTGTAAACCTCGCCACTTCGGCTGTGAGAGTGCGAGCCAAGTGAAACTCACCATAGCTAAATCGCACCCGAGCCACCGAGGCAGCGAGCTTGCTCAAGTCCAGTGCCTAAGAAAACCGATACGGCCACATTAGCATTCGGCATCCACGTCAGTATCGGCGATGGCAATTTCTTGCATTTCAGGTGGCCAACGGTGAGATGCGGAGGTGAAACTCATGCTCGGGGTACCGTCGAGTAAGGCACCTCAACTGGTTTCATCCTTTCACGGAGTGGTGGCGCAGAAAAAGAGCGACAATCGCGTCCAAGACCGAAGGTCTCACTGGAGAAATTTCCATGGAGGGCACAGCACTGTTTGGCTTCCAAGTGTGACAGTCAGCCCACAAATTAATCCACGCACCATGACAAGTACTTATAGCAAATAATTAATAGTGTGTATTGTATATAATATGGGTTTCCGCATTTGACTCAATGATCATAACTCATGTCTCAATTAATTCCGAATGACATACAGCACCATTCTTCCTTGGCCGCTCTGTCCCATTCCACGCTCATCGGAAAAGTGAAATGAAGTGAAATGCATGCCAATGAGTGAAATTACATAATTTTTTCATCGCACCTCTTCACAACTGTGCTTGACCTCCAACGTTTTTGACTGGCTCTGCTTGGCATGAATATGAATGACATTTCAGTTTTACGGCTGCACGTCCGGTTGAGATTCAATTTCATTTCTAACACATACACATTCACTGAACGGGCATGAAGACATTGCAAATTGTATTGTTGTTTTTGCTTACGATTTCCATAATCCTTATAATACGTTTATCAGCGTTTGACGTTATCGGAAGAGATCGATATAGGTTCTCTGTTTGATAACTGATGGTATACTCATTGATTTTTCTCGGTCAAAGATAAATTTACGACGTCTGCGAAGAAAAAGTGTGAGCGGAAGAGATAAGTTGGTCATTTTGTCGTAAAATACTTATATCGATAGAGAGTCAAAGAATATTAACGTTTTCTATTTCAGACGGAAAATCAAATTAATAATATTTAAATGGCATGGCGAAGTGCCTCAATTTCAGCTGTTGGTTCTTTGAAAAGCTTCCCATTCACCAGATGAACAATCGTTGACATTCCCTTCCTTCAATAACACTGAAGTGCTGAGAACCACCCCATTCTCGGTTATAAATAATTTGCACACTTGCGCTTCATTGCATCGCATGACTGTATTTTAATTTCACACAAATTCCCTCTGAGCATTAAATAGAATTTTTGCACAATACATATACTGGCAACATGACTGCCAATTTCCTTGCAGTTTCAATGGCTAGAATTTATTCTTGAATTTATTTGTACGTAACATAAATGATTGTACATATGTGAGGATTTTCATATATTTGTGCAGAACTAGTTGAAAAAGTTTCGAATCATTTATTTGGTACCATTTTCTAATGAAAGCATTGTGATATTAAAAACAGTACAATTATTGCAGTTGGTAAATATATTGTTTTAACGTTTATTTTATTGTATCGATGTATTATCCAAGATATCGTCACATTTTAACCTAAAAATTCAGTTTCAGTCTTAACCTTGGTGTTAACAATTATAACGAATTAAAAAATTGTAAGATTACAATTAAATTCTTCCATTTATTCTACATTGAGTAATTTTTTACTTAAAAATTTCTTTAAAGGTTTCATTTGTAATTTCACAAATATCCGGGAAAATTTCAACATAATTATAGAAATATTAGGGAAATGTTAAAGAAGTTTTGGCATATCGAAATGCGCGACTCGTCGTTACGCCGCGTCGTGCACGTCGCAAACTCTTTTACATCGTTTGTCAACAAAAATTATATAAAATGTATCAAACATAAAAGCTATAAAGCATTAGCTATTATTATAATGATATGAATAAAAAAAATTATTTAAAGCGATTAGACTTACTAAAAACGTGAATAAACTTTTTACAATCGGGATTTAGGCCTGTTTGCACCGTTTACACAGTACAAAGGCATAGTATTCATACTTGAAATTTTTTTAACATTCACTGTATGTCATTATCATTCATCACTGGTGTGGATAAATATCGATTGGATTATTTGCACTTTTGCTGTAATCTTACTCCATGCATTTTTTATAATTGATTGGGAAATACCTTTTTGGCTTTTTGTTAATTTAATAAGATGATAAAAAAGCTTTTGGGATGGAGCAGATAGTAATTAGGAAAATTTATTAATGCTGAATCAAGTGCTGAATAGTTGAAGAATTTTTAGCACATCGCTGAATATTCCTTGAGAGACACATTAGAATATGTGTGTTAATAAATAAAGTCGTCATGAGTTCACAATCTTTTATGTGGCAAAAATTAATTTATTAAAAGCAACCTTCATAATCTTAAATACGGGATTCTGAAACAAAATCTTTACTTATTTTACCGCATTTGATACTGTAAAATTGGTTTTGGAATTGGAAATTACTATTGAAATTTTTTAAATGCTCATTTATACGTGATTCTTCCCAGCGTCGAATCACTTTTGATCACCATATACAAAAATCTATCATGTCTATTTTCATATTGTAATATTTTGAAACTTCTTCGCAATATTTTGTGTCATATCTATCATATGTCTTCAGATAAAGACGGGAAGGAGAATCGGTCAAATATGTCACAATATCCTAAAATATTGGAATATTGCAGAATGTGAAAATTATGCAAATAACAGAAACAATACGTTGTTTTCTATGTAAGGAAGAGACGACTAAAAAATATAATCAGTCGTTGAGATAAATCCGTCAGGTATAATTTGTATCATTTCACGGTATCTTGACACCTGAATTATTTTATTATTATGCAAAGCGAGACGGTTTAATAGGTAATGTACACTTTAGCAGGCAATCATGTTGAGGTAATAGTAATACTTTTCCTCTCTGGAAATAATTGTATAAAATGTGTGATGTACCAGCAAAATATAATCTCGTGCCACTTGTGAGATTATTTTTATGCAATATCACGCGTCGTCATCGTTTCGTCAATATGTATACTCGACATACTTTAGAAATGCACCACGAGAGATTCCTATCCGAAACAGTTCGCGATGATGTGAAAAAAAAAAACAGTGAGAAAAATGACAATCGTGCCAAAATTCACTGCACTTCTTTAGAAGACACCATTATGCGATCGAGTATGTAATATCGCGCAATGCGATTGTATATAATCCATTTCTTTCAATCTCTCCCTCACTTCTCTCAAAGTTTTTTTTTTGTATACAAATGCCACGATAGTGGGCACTTAATTATTCAATTGTTTCATCGCTGTAACCACACAAGATATGCGAGGAACGAAACGAGGAAAGTCACTACAGGCAGTGTGTTTGAGAGCCGGTGGATCGGTATGAGAGACAGCGAGGCCCACAGAAGTAGATCACGAAGAAGACGATCGCGCACAGTAAGTGTAGTTTGTTGCGAAATTGCGCTTGGATGTGTTCAGAAGCGCAACTTATAATCAGGGCTCTGTACCACCCATCCATCCAAGTACAATTTAATAATTATGCAAATAGCATTTACTACCACTGTTATCGTCTAAATACCTACAAATGACGTCCGAGAAAGTCTCGTACTTTTCCTGATCTTCAAAGTCGTGATTGCCACATTTGTGGTGTGTGTTTCTATGCAATACAGGAATTTACATCAGAGCGCGAGAAAATTACTATAATTTCACTATGTGGTGCAGAATGTGAACTACTATTTGCAGAATGCCCAAATGAAGAAATTATAAACTATATTGATTTGCCAATATCTAATCACAGCATTTAACAATGCTGAATATCGTACAATGGCATCTATCTATCTATTGTGTTGTAGTATTTTTTACCATTAAGTGCGCATTTTTTTTCTAACTCTTCTGTACTTAATCATGTCTGACTGGTGGAAAATTTGAAGGTTCAACTAAGATGACCAGAGTCCAGCACTTTGCTCATTATAAAGAGTAATTATTAAGTTCAACATGGAAACTTGCATTACATCGATTGATCCAGTGCTTCTGTGCCTTAATTCAATTTCGATACATAGTGTATGTATATTTTACAAACGTTCATTTATATAAAAATTAAATTTTTGCAAAACAACATTTGAAATAACACAGGAACACGACAGAGATTTTCATGTTATTTTCTTCACTTTCCCAAAATCGTAATGTTCGTGTGTGTAGTTTCTTTTCATCGCTTCATAAAACTTTTTACAATATTTTCTATAAATATTACCCAATTTTATTGAGTAATATCGTTAGTAATAGTTGTGTGGGGAATTAAAAAAATGTGAACAATTTATCCAAAAGTATATTAGAATAATTTAATCAAATCTAATAGAAAATAATTCAAATTATCCATACCCATTGCTTCGGAATAATCTAAATAATTCACACATGTCTTGTTTCCAAAATATTGAAATTGAGAATTGTCTTTTGTAGAAACACAGCAAGTGTATACTTTATCTATCTGATTTTAAACAGCCATCTGCTCAGTAGTGTATTATCTGTTGTAGGCATTTTTCAATTATTGTTACTTATTGTTGGAATTAACTTGCGAAATTATACTGTAATCCATACAATTCACCGGAAATCACTGATAAATGATAAGATTGTGTGATGAGGCATATTTCAATCAAGCACACTCGTTCGTTTACACTTCCCAGCGAGTAATCTCATGTCGCTTCACTCTTATTTAAATTTTACAACCAATGGTATTTTATTATACTTTAATTGCAACATCACTTGTGACAAATAACCAAATGGTGATGTATGAAACGATTCTTATCACGCGGAAAGCGTCATGGATTTCCGTTTTTCACATGCCATTCAGTGAGGTGAAATTTCTACTGCATGATTCGCACTCCTCATGTTGGTAATGTAAATATTATTCCTTCATTTCAAAATCAATGGAAATGGTATTGTAATGGAGTGGTGTGCAGAGGATTGGATGCTTAATTATGGGAGA